CTGTTGTCTCTGTCCATCCCATCTGTCTGTCCATACCGTCTCTGTCCATCCCATCTGTCGTCTCTATATCTCATCTGTAATCTGTCCATACCATTCATCTGTCGTCTGTCCATCCCATCTGTCGTTTGTCCATACCATCTCTCATCTTTGTCCATCCCATCTGTCGTCTCTGTCCATCCCATCTGTCGTCTCCATAAAATCTCTTATCTTTATCCATCCCATCTCTCTTCTCTGTCCATCCCATGTGTCGTCTGTCCATACCATCTGTCTTCTCTGTTCATACCATCTGTCATCTCTGTCCATCCCATCTGTCATCTCTGTCCATCCCATCTGTCGTCTCTGTCCATCCCATCTGTCGTCTCTGTCCATCCCATCTGTCGTCTCTGTCCATGCCATCTGTCTTCTCTGTTCATACCATCTGTCATCTCTGTCCATCCCATCTGTCGTCTGTGTCCATCTCCTCTGTTGCCTGTCCATACCATCTGTCGTATCTGTCCATCCCATCTGTCGTCTCTGTCCATACCATCTGTCTTCTCTCCCCATCCCATCTGTCGTCTCTGTCCATACCATCTGTCGTCTCTGTCCATACCATCTGTCGTCTCTGTCCATACCATCTGTCGTCTCTGTCCATACCATCTGTCGTCTCTGTCCATTATATCTACCCCCCCCCACATATTGATCTTGAAAATTTATTACCGGTAGGGATACTTTTTTTTTGCTTATAGTTGATGGCGCAGCCATCAACTATAAGCAAAATCAGTCATAAAACTCCAGACCGCGGGTTCTAACCCTGCCCGTGGTATAGTTTGTTTGCAATCGTGGTATTACGAGTTCGTGAGTCACGACTCTGGTGGTATACCTGAAGGGTATTCCGGGGGGCAACGCCCCTGAGCCCCGGTCCATGACCAGGCCTCGAGTTGACACAATCATCCATACATAAACATTATTATAATTATTAGCTGTATAGCCCTTGTGGCTTAGCGCTTCTTTTTGATTATAATAATAATTATAATTATTAATAATTATTATTTTCATCAGAAGCGCTAGTTCCGTAAGTCGATATCACCAGACTGTTTACACTTATTAAGTTTATTCAGGTATACACAAATACAGTTACATAGAATATCATACATAGCAGTATATGCTATATGACCCTTTTGGGTTTAGGTCTATAGAGAAATTGGATGGAATAAAAATGTAACACGAACAGGAGGCAATAAAGGCATTTATAGGCATATCAGCAGAAGAGAGAATCACTTCATGAACCAACAGTCATTACAACCAAAACTAGGCACTAGACCCACAAGGGTCATACACCTCATGAATCATTCATAAATAATTAAAAAGATTCCTTGATGCCAGTGAGAAGGCTCTTGAACTAGGGAATTGGAGCTGTGCTTCAGTTCCCTAAATGCCTTCCATCCCCCACAGGCACTATATAATCCCTACGGGTTTAGTGCTCCCCCGTAATAATAATACAGTAGTAACAGGGCAACAGTGAACTACTTAATGGTCCAAAGTTCGATCACAATGGCATCATAATCTTCAAGTCGCTTAAGTTCGGATTATTTATGAATTCCTGGCTGTCAAAACTAGGGAGGCCAAGCCCATGATGACACTCTTCAGGTCACTTGTTCTATCTAGGCTGGAATATTGCTGCACACTAACAGCACATTTCAAGGCAGGTGAAATTGCCGACCTAGAAAATGTACAGAGAACTTTCACGGCGCGCATAACGGAGATAAAACACCTCAATTACTGGGAGCGCTTGAGGTTCCTAAACCTGTATTCCCTGGAACGCAGGAGGGAGAGATACATGATTATATACACCTGGAAAATCATAGAGGGACTAGTACCGAACTTGCACACGAAAATCACTCACTACGAAAGCAAAAGACTTGGCAGACGATGCAACATCCCCCCAATGAAAAGCAGGGGTGTCACTAGCACGTTAAGAGACCATACAATAAGTGTCAGGGGCCCGACACTGTTCAACTGCCTCCCAGCACACATAAGGGGGATTACCAACAGACCCCTGGCAGTCTTCAAGCTGGCACTGGACAAGCACCTAAAGTCAGTTCCGGATCAGCCGAGCTGTGGCTCGTACGTTGGTTTGCGTGCAGCCAGCAGCAACAGCCTGGTTGATCAGGCTCTGATCCACCAGGAGGCCTGGTCACAGACCGGGCCGCGGGGGCGTTGACCCCCGGAACTCTCTCCAGGTAAACTCCAGGTAAACTCCAAGTCCTCAAGAAGGCTTTGGACAGACACCTAAAGTCAGTATCTGATCAGCCGGGCTGTGGTTCATACGTCGGTTTGCGTGAGGCCTACAATAACAGCCTGGTTGCTCAGACCCTGATCCACCATGGGGCCTGGTCACAGACCGGGTCGCGGGGGCGTTGACCCCCGAAACCCTCTCCAGGTGTTGTCTTTTATTCTTGGGGAATGAAAGTAACCCTAGTGCTTGAAACTCTATATAATGTACAACTTGATAACACATAATATAGAAAGGATTTGGGAGTTATGGTAGACAAATCCAAAGTGAAAACAACAGTGTTTAAAGCGTCCATATAAGGCTGACAAATTGCTTGGATTTACATCAAAGAGTTATAAGCCAATCGAGTCCACGGTGCCCCGTGGACTGAAGGCAAAAGCTCTCGCTTCACACACGCTGTCAATTTTGTCAAGGTTGGGAACCAAAGCAATCATAGTACTAGGGGGAGAGAGCACAACTTTGTAGTACCCACAGTCATTGGACAGGCTTCAAACACCTTTTATTGTACAGCAATAAAGGAATGGAACATACTGCCCGCACATGTCAAAGCCAGTCATAGCATGAACCAGTTCAAGAAGAGTGCCAAAAGGTGTCTGATGAATGTAGCTACAGAAAGGGAGGGGAATGATTTTCTATTTTTTAGCTAACATACGTGTAAATTTTGCCATATTCCTAGTAATGACCCTCGTATTGTAGATAGTCTTAATGACCTTGGTGTAGTAGATAGTCTTTTTAGTATGATAATAAGATGTTATCTTCATTGTAGAATAATAAGAAAATATTATAACCTTCATATTATAATAATAAGGTAAAAGGACCCCAATGGAAATAAGTCACTCTGACTTTTTTGGGTTATCCTAGGTTCTCTACACATATGCTGCTATGTATGATATTTCTATGTAACTGTATTTGTGTATACCTGAATAAACTTACTTACACACGGTGAGGGTTCGGGTTCGATTACCGGCGAAGGGGTGGAAACATCGGACGTGTTTCCTTACACCGGTTGTCCATGTTCACCCATCAGTAAAATGGGTACCTGGGTGTTATTGGACTGGTGTGGTTGGCATCCTGGGACAAAACTGACCTAATTTGCGGGAAATCCTCAGCATAACAAGCGGCTTTCTATATAGTAGTATGTCATTGATGTCAACTATGGTCTGTATACCTTGTACATGTACTTGCAGAAATAAAGATTACTATTATTATTATTATTATTATTATTATTAAAGAAATTCCAGGCCGGGTTGGTATGTCAATATTTTAGGTTGACTGTGAGAGTAATGGACTTCTGCGTCAGCCTTCGTCGGGTGTGGACGTCTCTCGCCTGAGTATCAGTGACAAATTTACCCCGTTCTCACTGGGACGCTTGTCTTCATCTATTTAAACCATACCCCCGGCCGGGATTGAACCCGCGGTCATAGAGTCTCAAAACTCCAGCCCGTCGCGTTAGCCACTAGACCAGCTAGCCACGGGCTGGAGTTTTGAGACTCTATGACCGCGGGTTCAATCCCGGCCGGGGGTATGGTTTATTTGCAATCGTGTCATTACGATTTCTTAACTCATGTCGTCTTCATCTATTTAGCCCGCCGGGCACTCTACAAGAGGGGCACCTGTTCATCGGCTTACTTTAGTCAGCTCCATTTTTTCCGGTCTGCGGAAAATTAACCCACCATACCCCCGGCCGGGATTGAACCAGATTCGTCTGTAAAAAACTTGCATTTGTGGTCACAGTGATGCCTGTGCTAACCTTCCTATGGTGTAGAAATATACCTAGTTGGATGAATCTTATTGTGGCTAGCTGGTCTAGTGGCTAACGCGACGGGCTGGAGTTTTGAGACTATGACCGCGGGTTCAATCCCGGCCGGGGGTATGGTTTGTTTGCAATCGTGTCATTACGATTTCTTGAGTCATGCGGAAAATTGTTTGTCGGTTTAGTGGGCAGCCGGTTACTGTACTCAGGTGGGAGTGTTGGCGTCCCTCTCTGCTGGGGCTTGGCAAGGGCGTCCCTCTCTGCTGGGGCTTGGCAAGGGCGTCCCTCTCTGCTGAGGCTTGACAAGGGCGTCCCCCTCTGCTGGGGCTTGGCAAGGGCGTCCCTCTCTGCTGGGGCTTGGCAAGGGCGTCCCTCTCTGCTGAGGCTTGACAAGGGCGTCCCTCTGTTGGGGCTTGGCAGGGGCGTCCCTCTGCTGGGACTTGGCAAGGACGTCCCTCTGTTGGGGCTTGGCAAGGGCGTCCCTCTCTGCTGGGGCTTGGCAAGGGCGTCCCTCTGCTGGGGCTTGGCAAGGGCGTCCCTCTCTGCTGGGGCTTGGCAAGGGCGTCCCTCTCTACTGAGGCTTGACAAGGGCGTCCCTCTCTGTTGGGGCTTGGCAGGGGCGTCCCTCTCTGCTGGGACTTGGCAAGGACGTCCCTCTGTTGGGGCTTGGCAAGGGCGTCCCTCTCTGCTGGGGCTTGGCAAGGGCGTCCCTCTGCTGGGGCTTGGCAAGGGCGTCCCTCTCTGCTGGGGCTTGGCAAGGGCGTCCCTCTCTGCTGGGGCTTGGCAAGGGCGTCCCTCTCTGCTGGGGCTTGGCAAGGGCGTCCCTCTCTGCTGGGGCTTGGCAAGGGTGTCTCTCTCTGCTGGGGCTTGGCAAGGGCGTCCACCAGATCTAATTGGAAACTTCAAGTTTCTATTTCTATTTACAAAGGAACTTTTGTTCCTTTCCTCTCATCGCCCAGCCTCGCCCAACAATTTCTTCTCGTCCCGTCGAGAAACCGGACTCGATACTGCGTGTGCTGTCAGTGGCCCTGATAAACCCAACAAAGAAGACTGATGGTGAGTGTTATGTCGCACCTTGACACCAACTAACAAATACGTCTTTGTAAAACCACGTCAGGTAGTCTTGTTAGTTAGTTTAATATGTTAATTATGCTGTTGTGTTACCTGTGTTAACAGTGGTTATCATAAAGGACATCTTACAAGTTACCACAATAATAATAATAATAACTTTATTTACTACAAGTACATGTACACACAACCCCCAATAAATGGAATTGAGGGGATTTGGAAGGATAAAACCATGGATTAAACCTTTCTGATCTACCAGAATGGAAAGGAGTTAGAAGTTAATTGGTGAAGCCAGACTGTGAAGTGAGATGGGAAGGGGAGTGTGTAATAAGGGGTTAACTGTAAGGGTTGTGTCCCCTCAAGGAAGGTTCCTTGATGTTGGTGAGGGGCTCTTGATTTAGGGAATTGGATCTGTGCTCCAGTTTCCCAAATTAAGCCTGAATGCCTTCCACATCCCCCCCCCCACGCGCTGTATAATCCTCTGGGTTTAGCGCTTCCCCCTTGATTATAATAATAATGTAAGGGTTGTGTGAAGTTAAGGGAAAAGTGAGCAGTGAAGAGGGTTTTGAAGAGGAAATTTTACTAGTAATTCAGTGGTGATTGCTAAAGCAGATACTAAGTGTACTAGGGACTGGAAAAGAAAAATAAATATTATTGTATATGAGTAAAAGAGCGAAGAGTGAAAATGGCAGGCATTAGGGGGGTACAGGCTGCCATAATTATATTTATATTTCTTCTTCAATTCCATGAAGAAAGAAATCAGTCATGGGGGTTGGAAAAGGTGAATGGAGTAACAGCGCCCTGGACAGTAAAAGCCCAACAGTTGCCATCCTACCAGAAAAGTAAATGTCACTATCGCTGCAAGGTATGGCAACACCGCATACCCAAACAAAAACAGTGGCACACAGCTCTTATTGTAGCGCTCTTAAGTGGTGATATCCAAATTAATCCAGGACCTCAAACTATTGTGCAGAGGCAAAACAGACAGATAAATGACGGCGATAATGACGGTCCTAGTACTAGGAATGATAACCTTAACTCCATATGTAATGCATACATAGGTCAATGTGAGACAATACAGCCATTATTATCTCAAACACTACCAAACAGGTGCATACACTGTACTAAAGTACGCATGAAAAACAGAAAAGGCACCTTATGTAAAATGTGTAAGGGGTGGGTGCATGATGGATGTATGTACAATTATAGCAACGGTGCCAGAATTCATTTTGTGTGTAACAAATGCACTTTGGCACAGTTACCCTTTAGCAGTGATGACATTGATTTACCTAATTTTAATACAAATGACCCATTGCCATATATTGATGATTATGATTGTTTTATGAAAACAGGCCTTCACTTTATTCATGTCAATGCAAGATCACTTCTTCCTAAATTAGCAGAGATTAATATTCTAGCTAACAAAATTAGGGCGGCAGTTATAACCATCTCTGAATCTTGGTTGGATGATACGGTGACTGACGACGAGGTCAAAATAGATGGTTACAATATAAAACGCTTAGATAGGAACAGAAAGGGTGGTGGAGTATGTGCCTACATTGGAAATGACTTAGCTTACAACCCAAGACCTGATTTAAATAGCAATAAACTGGAGATTCTATGGTTTGAAGTGCTGCTTCCTAAGACCAAACCCATCTTAGTAGGAACTAGTTACCGCCCTCCTACCCAGGACCAGTTCTTAGAAGACTTTTCCAGAGTCTTGTCCGGAGTTGAAAACAATTGCGAGACAATAATACTGGGCGACTTCAATGTCTGTTTTCAGCAGCAAAATAACGGGCTATGCAAAAGGTATAAGCAAATTCTAGGATTAAATAGTTACACTCAACTAATTAATACTCCAACCCGGATCACACAGTTCTCAGCCACCCTAATTGACCACATACTTTGTAACCGCTCTGAGAACATTAATCAGTCAGGCGTCATTACCACAGGTCTTAGTGATCATTTCATCATTTACTGCACCAGGAAAATCACTAGGGATAGGATAGGCCTACACAGGACAATAAAAATGAGGTCAACTAGAAACTACAGTAAAGAAACACTGGTAAATAGGCTACACAATTGTGACTGGACAGAGATAACAAGTTGCACGGACGTAAACGATGCCTGGGAAAAATTCAAAACAATGTTCACTACCATCCTTGATAATATTGCACCAGTTAAAGAGGTTAGGGTTAAACGAAGAACTGAACCCTGGATGAATACTGAGATATTAGATAATATGAAATTCAGAGACCAGCTGCTAAAAAGATTTAAAGCAAACAGACAGGATATTGCAGCACTAAATGAATTCCAAAGGGTGAGGAACAGAGTACAGAGACTTATAAAAGGAGCAAAAGCAAAGCACTACTGCTCAAAAATTGAAGAGTATAAGCATAACCCCAGAAAGCTCTGGCAACAACTAAAACAGTTGGGGGTATAGCCATAAGCCAGTAGATAAGTCTAACATACTACTCACTATCGATAATGAGGTATGCCACGAAACATCTAAGGTGGCAAATTGCTTTAATTCCTACTACACATCTGTTGCATCAACACTAGTAAGTAAACTACCAGCTGCATCAAATACCTTTAACACAGACTCTGATAAGTTTCAAACATACTATACCAATAAAGGGGTAACCCCAAACAGTTGTCAACTAGTAAGTGTATCTCATGACTTTATTCAAAAAGAACTAAGCAGGTTAAACCCAACTAAGAGCACAGGCCCTGATAACATCCCGTCTAAGTTCCTAAAAGATGGTGCTTCTGAACTGTCAATCCCTATTGCTCACATAATAAATCTATCAATCACCACTAATACCGTACCGGAGGGGTTCAAGGAGGCCAGAGTTACTCCTATCTTCAAGAAAAATAGTAGGTCTGATGTAAGCAACTATAGGCCTGTTAGTATACTCAGTATAATATCTAAAATTCTAGAGAGGGCGGTGTATTCTCAAGTAGTTAAGTACCTTAATAACAACAACATTCTCCATAGCTATCAATCGGGCTTTAGAAGATCCTACTCAACCGATACCTCCCTTATTAATCTGATGGATTACCTGAGAACTGAAATGTCAAAGGGGAACCTCATAGGTATGGTAACCTTAGACCTGCAAAAGGCCTTCGATACTGTCAACCACAATATATTATGTAATAAACTTCAAGCTATCGGTATAGGTTCTGTAGACTGGTTTAAGTCCTACCTTAACAACAGGAGACAAATAGTCAAAATCAACAAAACAGAATCAGAACCCCTGCCGATAACATGTGGAGTTCCCCAAGGTAGTATTCTGTGTCCCTTATTATTCTTATGTTATGTCAATGATATGCCTATCAGTGTCAAGTGCAAACTCCTACTGTATGCAGATGACAGTGCTCTGTTAGTGTCAGGTAAGACCCACAAGATATTGCTAATGTTTTAACACTGGAACTGGAGTCCTGCAGCAAATGGTTAGTAGACAACAAACTATCATTACACCTAGGAAAACTGAAGCCATTCTCTTTGGCACAAAACATAAACTGAGAAGGGTAAATAATTTTAATGTTCAATGTAATGGGGAGCCCATCACTTTGATTTCATCAGTAAAATATTTGGGAATCCCCTTTGACCCAAGCATGTCAGGAGAATTGATAGGGAACAGTGTAGTAAAGAAAGCAAATGCCAGACTGAAGTTCCTGTATAGATAAGCACAGTGTCTACCTACTGAGGCTCGCAGGACCCTATGTCTAGCCCTTATACAATGCCATATGGATTACGCTTGCTCTTCTTGGTACTCTGCCTTGACAAAAAACTTAGATAGACTGCAAATCACCCAGAACAAAATCGTAAGATTCATCCTGGGGCTGGGACCAAGAGAACATGTAGGCCAGGATGAATTACAGCAGTTGGATATGCTGAATGTTGAAGACAGAGTAAAAACAACTGAAGCTAAATCATGTTTATAAAATTGCTCACAAACAATGTCCAGAATATCTTGCTGTCAATTTTGTCAAGGTTGGGAACCAAAGCAATCATAGTACTAGGGGGAGAGAGCACAACTTTGTAGTACCCACAGTCATTGGACAGGCTTCAAACACCTTTTATTGTACAGCAATAAAGGAATGGAACATACTGCCCGCACATGTCAAAGCCAGTCATAGCATGAACCAGTTCAAGAAGAGTGCCAAAAGGTGTCTGATGAATGTAGCTACAGAAAGGGAGGGAATGATTTTCTATTTTTTAGCTAACATACGTGTAAATTTTACCATATTCCTAGTAATGACCCTCGTATTGTAGATAGTCTTAATGACCTTGGTGTAGTAGATAGTCCTTTTAGTATGATAATAAGATGTTATCTTCATTGTAGAATAATAAGAAAATATTATAACCTTTATATTATAATAATAAGGTAAAAGGACCCCAATGGAAATAAGTCACTGTCTGACTTTTTTGGGTTATCCTAGGTTCTCTACACATATGCTGCTATGTATGATAATTCTATGTAACTGTATTTGTGTATACCTGAATAAACTTACTTACTTGCTTACATGGTATACAGTCCTAGCTGACAACAATGACATACTACTATTACCTGGAGTTCCCCTCAAGGAAGGTTCCTTGATGTTGGTGAGGGGCTCTTGATTTAGGGAATTGGATCTGTGCTCCAGTTCCCCGAATTAAGCCTGAATGCCTTCCACATCCCCCCCCCCCCAGGCGCTGTATAATCCTCTGGGTTTAGCGCTTCCCCCTTGATTATAATAATAATAATATTACCTGGAGTTTACCTGGAGAGAGTTCCGGGGGTCAACGCCCCCACGGCCCGGTCTGTGACTAGGCCTCCTGGTGGATCAGAGCCTGATCAACCAGGCTGTTACTGCTGGCTGTACGCAAACCAACGTACGAGCCACAGCCCGGCTGGTCAGGAACCGACTTTAGGTGCTTGTCCAGTGCCAGCTTGAAGACTGCCAGGGGTCTGTTGGTAATCCCCCTTATGTATGCTGGGAGGCAGTTGAACAGTCTTGGGCCCCTGACACTTATTGTATGGTCTCTTAATGTGCTAGTGACACCCCTGCTTTTCATTGGGGGGATGTTGCATCGTCTGCCAAGTCTTTTGCTTTCGTAGTGAGTGATTTTCGTGTGCAAGTTCGGTACTAGTCCCTCTAGGATTTTCCAGGTGTATATAATCATGTATCTCTCCCGCCTGCGTTCCAGGGAGTACAGGTTTAGGAACCTCAAGCGCTCCCAGTAATTGAGGTGTTTTATCTCCGTTATGAGCGCTGTGAAGGTTCTCTGTACATTTTCTAGGTCAGCAATTTCACCTGCCTTGAAAGGTGCTGTTAGTGTGCAGCAATATTCCAGCCTAGATAGAACAAGTGACCTGAAGAGTGTCATCATGGGCTTGGCATCCCTAGTTTTGAAGGTTCTCATTATCCATCCTGTCATTTTCTATATAGAAAGTCGCTTGTTATGCTCCACATGTCGGGCAAATTAGGTCAGTTTTGTCCCAGGATGCGACCCACACCAGTTGACTAACACCCAGGTACCTATTTTACTGATGGGGAACATAGACAACAAGTAGAAAGAAACACGCCCAATGTTTCTACCCTGGCTGGGAATCGAACCCAGACCCTCGCCATGTGAAGCGAGAGTGTTAGCCACCAGGCCACCATTACCAATTTAGCAAATTGTTATATTCTTAAATGTTCTGAACTACCTCACTATTGTACACAAATCCATTTAATCATTTGCAATTTGTAATGTAGAATAAGAATTATTATTAGTCTGCCCGAAATGCCTAGGCTTGCTAGGCACGCTAGTGGCCTTTATAATTGATGTTTTATAATATATAAACCACCCATTGTAATCTTTACAGAGAAATAAACATTTCAGTTTCAGTATATATTTACTTAATATTCGTGTAATCTATTGTGAAAACCATTGTCTTATAAATATACATATATAAAATGCTATTATGTAAATATCGTGAACAAGCGGTGCAAGATGCAAAACAACCACAGGGGAGAGTTGAATGATAGCTCCAGCACTTTCGTCCGCAATCAACACATCAGGAGCTTGCAATGTTGCAAAAAAGAGGAGGAAGTCCAAGCAAATACGATTGCAGCACAAAAGGCCTAGAGCTATCATTCAACTCTACCCATGACCCCCCCTTCTTGAGGTTATGCATAAAATACTATAGTACTTCTGGTCAGTAGGGTTTACAGCTTGCAGAAAATGCTCTATAATAATAATAATAATAATACGTATCTTTATTTACTACAAGTACATGTACATGGTATACAGTCCTAGCTGACAACAATGACATAGTACTATATAGAAAGCCCCTTGTTATGTTCCGTATGTCGGGCAAATTAGGTCAGTGTCCCAGGATGCGACCCACACCAGTCGACTAACACCCAGGTACCCATTTTACTGATGGGGAACATAGACAACAAGTAGAAAGAAACACGCCCAATGTTTCTACTCTGGCTGGGAATCGAACCCAGACCCTCGCCGTGTGAAGTGAGAGTGTTAGCCACCAGGCCACCAGAGCATAACTAAGAGATCTTTCATGGTTTTTTGGGTTATCCTATGTAATTTACACGTTACGACATGTGATAATTGTACTTATGTGTACCCGTACCTTCATAAACTTATGTATCATGTGGAAATAAATTGACTGATTGATTGAACTACCAGGAGCAGGATTCATATAGTGCAAATTGTGGTGAATTGTTTTCCAGGTGAATGGCTCTTGATCCAAGAAACTTTAATTATTTTCCCTTGAATTGAACCTAATTGCCTGATATTTACCAGGTGTATGACACCTAATGGTTTATGGCATCTGAATTACCCACATGGGTTTAGGGCCTAAAACAACATTACAGTATTATGGTTATTATTATTATAATTGCATCTGTCACTGTGAGAAACTTATAAGTCTGCTCATGCTACTTCCCCATTGTAATATAATCCACATTTTTATGTGCAGAAATTATTCATGCTTAATTGTCATAAAATATATAACTAACATTCTATAATTCTTATCCATATACCTGTACTATGTTAAGTAGTTCTTAAATGTTAGTTTTAGATTGATATGCTTCGTATAATGGGACAGCACTTAAAATGTGCAGAAAAATGTAATTCCACAGCTAAATTAAAACCCTGTAATTCTTGGAGTAAAATTTGACTTTGACAAGCGAGTTTTCATACGCCAATTCTGCTTTTTTGGGTTATCCTGGGTAATTTACACATGTTACTGTGTATGATAATTTGTGTAACAGTATTTGTGTGCCTACACCTAAATAAACTTACTTTATGCAACTATTGTGGGTTGCATCCAAGGAAATTGTCTATGCTAATGTGTAAGACAATTACAGACTTGGAGTAATATCCAAAACCAGATAACATGCAGTATAAGAAAACCCCAGACTTGCTGGAAGCATTCAAGTATTGGGTAAAAGGTGTGTAGTCATTAGAAGAAATCTCTATGCAAACTGAACGTAATAATAATCTTTATTTCTACAAGTACATGTACAGGGTATACAGACCAAAGCTGACATCAATGACATACTACTACAGTACTGTATATAGAAAGCCTGAAATACTTTGCATTTCAGGCAAATTTGGTCAATTTTCGTCTCGAGAATGCAACCCAAACCATTTCACTAACACCCAGGTACCTATTTTACTGCTAAGTGAACATGGACAGCAGATGTCTTAAGGAAACATGTCCCAATGTTTCCTCCTGTACCAGGGATCGACCCCCGGACCTCAGTGTGTGATCTGAGTGCATTACCAATTGGAGAAAAGGAGGGTTAAGAGGTAGCTACACATTCACTTCTTATGACCAGAGTTTTTGGTAAGATGGGTAAGGAAGAAGGATGGGTAAGGATAGAAATAATGGAAAAGGGTGGGAGGGAGAGTGAGGTCAGATATAAAAGGGAAGTGGCCCAACCACTTTGGTGCAATTTAAAAAGTGTATGTGTAATAATAGAAAATTCTTGAAGGGGTATAATACTAACCCATCAGAGTCACATAGATATAACAGATATATAGGTACATGACTCTGAATTGGTAGTAGATATACAAGTTGCAATTTTTTTTTTTTTTTTGCGATTGCATAATGAATATTTAAACGGCAAGGCAAGGCAGTAATTGTCTGCAGAACTCATGAAGAATTACTTGACGTTAGCTTCTTTCAGGGTGGTGTCTCGCTATAGTAAATGTAGCAAGTTTATATCAGTAGATTGTATACAAGATATCTCCCTAATTAGGGGCGATAATTTTATTAGTAGACATAGAAGGGTTCTGGTGTTACCCAATCATCTTCATCTGCAGGGAGGTTGCTCAAAATCATTGGTTGATGGTAATCGTCTTTATGGATGAAGCGATGCACCCTCTGTGGGAGAGTCATTCTTTGGGTCCTGTGAGAAGGAGTACAGTATTAATGATAGTCAGTAGTATTTTCAACTTGGAGAGGATGTTCTCTATCTGGTATGTAGAGTTCTTGCATTGCATAGAGTTGTCTCTTCTTCAGCGTATCAAGGCGTACATTTAAGGCAGTAATATCCTGTTGTATGTGTAAATCTGCCATTTGACTCTCTCCCCTCCTGGTACCCGTAATAAAGCGGAGAGCTCTATTCTGGACCCGTTGCAACTGTAGCATGTTGGTCTTTGTTGTTAATGACATTGGGACACATGGGTATTCGAGTATAGGTCTTATCATCATTTTATACAGATGTTTTTTGACATGTGAAGGGGCTTGATTAAATCTAAAGAGACTGCTAAGACCGGCTTTGGCTATGTTGATTTTTTATTGACGTGAGATGTTGAGTGGAGCAGCCTGTCTATTTCATATCCCAAGATCTTGTTAGGATTTCTAATGGCTACAGGTGTACCTCTGATGGAGATACCCCCCTTATCTTCGATGGTTGATGCAGAACATCCTATCGTGCTAATCAGGACTTTGTCAGGGTTAGTCGTAATTCTCCATTTCTTTTCCCAATTGGATGTTCAACGAAGTTCAATATTCATTTTTTCTATGACTCTTTCATATTTGTATTTTCCTGTTACAGGAGTTGACAAGATGACATGGATAACATCATCTGCAAATTGCGTTATAATTGTATCATTAAACGCTGGTTGAGGAAGATCATTCACATAAATATTGAATAGAATTGGACTAAGACAAGAACCTTGTGGGACACCAGCTGTCATTATAAAAGGCTCTGTTGACTTGCCATGAAAGGTAGGAATGATTTTTCTTTGAGTTAAGAAGTTATATATAAATCTGAGAAATGTCCAGTTATGGTCAGGTAGGTCAATAAGTTTGTATATAAGACCATCATGCCATAAGCTATCAAAAGCTTTATGAACATCTCTGGTGGCAATTAGGGCAAGATTGCCCTGATGTTTCAGATTCACTACAGTATCAAAAATAATATTTATTGCATGATGGGTACCTCTATGTGTCCTAAAGCCAAACTGTTTTTCAGTAAAAAGGTGATTAAACTCATATAGTAGTTCAGTTTGTTGGAAATAATCTTTTCAAGAACTTTCCCAGTGACTTTAAGTAAGGATATAGGTCTATAGTTTCCTGGTTGATGGATGTCTTTATTGGGTTTAGCAAGAAAGATCATCCTAGCAGTCTTAAAAACCACTGGAAAATGTCCAGAGGCCAAGATGGCATTTAAGATATTAACCAAAGACTGTTTACAATTACTGGGTAGGAACTTTATTTGTTTCATTGTTATTCCAGAGAGACCAGGGGCTCTATTTCGCAATCTCCCAATAACCTGACTCATCTCAAGTAGTGTGATAGGTCTAGTAAGTGGGTGGGTCTCTTCAAGAGTTGATGTATTGATGGAAGGTAGTGGTTGTAGATCAGTTAAGTTCTCATCTCTCCATTCACTGACCAACTGATAGTGATTATTATTAAATCGACGACTTATTGTGGGAGAGAACTTTCTCCCATACATCACCCATCAAATTAGCCTGGTCCTGTGGATCATCGAGTTTAATCTCAACCTCTTCATCGTCATCATCAGTGAAGGTATGAATTAGGTAGCTAGGAGCCTTGTGCTTTGCACCTAAAAGTTGCCGAATCTTGCTCCAAAATTTTGCAGGCTCTTGTTTATACTGATTAGCTTTTAGAACTAGCACTTTCCATAAGTCACATTTGTGATGACTGATCATGTTAATTAATTCTTGCCTCAATCTATATAATGTAGCTACTGGTGGTTGCCGTGTTTGAAGATGCCTTCGACATTCTGTTTGATAATTTCTGATACCGTCTCTAATTTCCCTAGTAGGTTTATATTGTTGGTAGATCTTTGTGGAAGCTAATTGGCAAGTTGCATTAGTAGCATCAATTATTCGATTGTGAAGGGACCTGATTGCGTCGTCAATTGCATTGGAAGGTAGATTTTCTAACAATACAATTTCATCTTCACCCAGAAATGCCCTGAAGGGGTCAAATCCTAGGGTGTTGAGATTGGGTTTAGGAGGCACAGGTATTCTAAATGGAGAAGTTTGTAGTTGTATTATAACAGATATGGTCAGATCCTACGTTTCCACCAGGAGATATACGACAATGAAAGAGGTCACAGTCTCTGTTTGTCAGGACTACAGTATATCTGGTGTCCCTGCATGAGGACCAATATACGATTTAAAGTATGGGCCTTGAAATGACAAGTTTCTGGCTGTCATGATATTAAATAGTTGTTTTCCTTTCAAGTCACCCAGTGGATTACCAGCTCCACAGTTAAAGAGGGCAGGGTGATGAGCATTAAAATCTCCCGCTAGAATTGTTGGAATGTTTCTGCTTAATATCCTATGTAGAGGAATTCACTTTATATATGGTTGTCTCTGGGAAAAATATCCAGTTCCTATCAATAGTTGGCCATGAGACATCATCAGTTCTATTGCAAGAATGTTATCTTCATCAACATGAATATTTCTAAATGCATAGCCTAATTTAACTAAGATGGCTACACCACTATAGGGTCCTCTTGATTTCTCCACAGTAGAGTAACCACGTAATTTAATATATTGATCAACTCTCGCAGCTGTCTCATTCAAGAGTATAACATCAGGATTGTAATTATGTAGTTCAACTTCAAGGAGGTAATGGTTATTAAAGAAATGTTGAACATTAAGTTGGAAAATTGTAATCCCCATTATTTCTTGCCCTTCGCACGTGTACTGCGGTTCCTGAACATTGCAAGTAAATTTCCCATGTTTGGTATACACACTATCCCTGCGGACTCGTCAAGGGGAGGAGGGAAATTCTGAGTAGTTGCTTGTGTACTAAAAGTGTCACCATCCTCACTAGAGTTGGTAATATTAACAGATTCATTAGTCACATCATCGGGAAAACTGAGGTATGATATTCCCAGTTTCGGGAAGCAGAGGTCATGAGAGTTTAAAGGAGACTGTGGGGCTCCAAGGGAAAATTTGGTAGGCCAGGTGATTACCCTGGGAAAAATTCCTGTTCAACAGATCAGCTGCAATAGCCCGAAGAGTAAGCACCAATCTCTGGGGCATGGTTAGGGTCAGGTATTGACTCATCGGGGTGAGGGGAGTTGACAACCTGGGTATGCGAGGCGGGTGATCCCTGAGCAAGGGACAAATTAGGCGTATTTGTAGAGGTAGAGTAGGGCACATACTTCCTGTTTTGAGGGGTTGGGCCATAATAACCTTAACATTATCTGGGATAGTAATGGGAGTGATCCCATTAGCCATTAGCAAATCATTGAAAATATTAGAGCAGATTTGAATGTCACCACCTACGTCCTTAGCCATCATATACATCAATTGAGCTCTCGTCATATCCCCGGCTGAGGATACCTGAGACATGGGAGGTGAGGATGAACTTTGTGGTTGCGTTTTGTGTATGTTGTAAGTGAGGGTTAGATTGGGACACTCCAAGAGGGGCAGAATTCCAATATTGAACCGGTGGAAGAGACCTGAGGAGTCCCACTTGATCCAGGCAAAGCTGGGCAGGAAGTTTGGGACATTGTTGGAGGTGGCTGGGGAGTAGTCTTCGAAGAATTGGACAGTTTCTTGGCTTCTAGAATTTTCTGTATTTCCTTTTTCCTCTCAGGACAGATTTGCAGAAACGCATGGGTGTTTTCCATTGCAGAGGACACACTTGGGCTTAGTTTTGTTATGACAATCTTTAAAAGAATGTTAACCAGAACATATGCTGCAAATCAGTGCTTGGGTACTGCATTTGTTGGTGGTATGACCAAATGTGTAACATTTGTAACATTGTGTAACACTGACAAACCGCTCAAGAGAGATTCGGTCAGGTGTACATCTGGTGCCAAAACATTTGAAACCATTTTGACACACTAGTTTGGCTGCTTCAGGTGTCTCAAGTATTAACTTTAATGTTACCTGGTTGTTGCCAGGTTTAGAGAATTTATATGCTTGGACAGCCTTTAATTCAGCATTCTCCCTATTAAAGTCATCAACAAGTTCATTCACTGTGCTCTCTCTCATGAAGCTGTTATTTCTGGCCACAAACACAGTTCGCTGGACTTGGTAGCGTTCAGGTGCAATTGGGTTGATACCAAAAGTCTTCAATTTGTCTAGAACATCTTGCTTGAGCAGTTGAAGTAACTCTTCTTCAGAAGAGAGGAGAAGTACTGCCCCAGCCTGGGTTTGAAAAACATCCACCGGAGCAACAGTTGAATTCGAACAAATACATTCTAGAATTTCTTTCTTCGACTTTTGGTTGTCATCAACACATAATCTTACTCTTATTCGTGCCATGATGTCCAGGAAGGTACATCTGGCACATAAGTTGCTTTAACAAAAAGGGTCTTTCCTTAGTGTTAGTCCTGACATCCTATTTCAGCTGACTTATGAAGGTCAGCCCCTAAGATAGCCTACCCTCGAGTGGTGAGGGGGAAAGGGCCCAAGGCAAAGATCGGCCGGATTTTAAAAAACCACATGGGCTACCGGATGGTCAAAATGCCTTGTGTTAACTCGCCAAAGGCGAAGTTGCTGAAAAAGAAGAAGATAGGAAAGTCAGAAGGATAGCAGTGTAAGTAGTGTGTTAGTGTGTGGGCCAGTGTAGATGTTTGGGTGAGGGGAGGATTGGGAAGGTTGGGGGGATGGGGAAGAGAGGAGTGAACAAGCAAGCAGGTCACCGCCTTACCCTCTTGATGGGATGGGGCTCAAAGTGACTGCAAGCAAGTTTCCTCTCAGCTCTGGTCGAGAACAACTCAGGATAACCCAAGAAAAATCTCGAGTAACAGTGTTCAGAGTTGCCCTGATCGAGAATTACTCAGGATAACTGAAGAGCAGGAACGACGACGTCTTGTCTCCATGGTGGCTGGACAGCGACCCTGTCAACTACACATTGTGGTGCATTAATCCTGTATTACCCCCTAATTTTGTCCTACCCAAAAAAATTACTTATTAAAATTATTATTATTATTGATACAATTCTTAATTGAAGCCTTATTTGAATATCAGGATATCTTTATTCTGTCTTTTTAGATCAGAATGAAATAAGACTGTAGCTATGTATAATGCCATACTATGGATAATGGCATACTGTGGATAATGGCATACTGTGGATAATGGCATACTGTGGATAATGGCATACTATGTATAATGCCATACTATGTATAATGCCATACTATGTATAATGCCATACTATGTATAATGCCATCTTTGAGAATATTACACAGGTGGCTTCTAATTATGAGTGCTTTGGTAATCTCCCCACAAATTATCTTTTAAAAATTGTATTGAGCAAAATCTTGCAATGGATTAAGATGGCCCAGAGATATCTTACATATTATTCAGTGATGAGTGCAAAATGGAAAATAGTTTTCATAGTCTTACGTCCATACAGTATTTGCCCATCAAGAGTCATGTTACTCATAAGATATTGCTTTGATATGAATGGCATTGTATAAGTTTAATTTTGCTTTATTACAAACCTGGAGAGGTGGCTGTAGAAATATAATGTTACAGATAGCCTTACAGTTACTATAATGTTATTTCTTTTCTCTTTATAGAAACATGAGTCGTTTCAATAAAGTAAGAGCGTCCGGACTTATTATCTTTCGCCGGGTTTCTGAAGAATTTGAGTATCTTCTGTTAAAATCATCAAGGCCAGAAGGCCACTGGACTCCACCTAAAGGTAAGTACTGTACTGTATATATAATACACAATAAGATAAACATGTAAATGATAAGCATTTCACAGTAAAAACTTTGTAGCTACTCCTGTAGCTACAAACAGGTTATTACACCAACATTGGCCCCAATACAGGAGGGTCCTGCTTATACAGCAGGTTAGGTTCTGGGCTACTGCTGTAAAGCAAAAATTGCTGTAAAGTGAAACATAGCCCTTTTTTCACTTTCAAATGCATATTAAAGCCTGATAATATGTTGAAACTATCATATATTAAGTGAGCAACAGAGCTAGGCTTTAAAAATGCACATACAGTGCACACATATTACATACTTGCCTTAAAATATTTTCATTCTTAGCTTATAGTGAGTGGTGAATATATTTATTGTAGGTAGTATAAATAAATGAAGAATGGGTATAATTGAAAACTGTTGTATTAGTGAAATGCTGCAAAGTGAGGCCTGCCTGTACAGGTTATTAGTGACAGCTTCGGTCATACACCAAGGACCCCAATGGAAATACTGTAAGTCACTGTCTGACTTTTTTGGGGTATCCTAGGTAATCTACACATATGCTGCTATGTATGATAATTTATGTACTACAGTGGACTCCCGCTTAACGATCGCCTCCAAATGCGACCAATTATGTAAGTGTATTTATGTAAGTGCGTTTGTACGTGTATGTTTGGGGGTCTGAAATGGACTAATCTACTTCACAATATTCCTTATGGGAAAAAATTCGGTCAGTACTGGCACCTGAACATACTACTGGAATGAAAAAAGTTCGTTAACCGGGGGTCCAGTGTAATTGTATTTGTGTACCTGTACCTGAATAAACTTACTTACCAGCACTGTTTCTCCAGTAAAAGCCAGTGATTATTTACTTTCAGCATGTACCATGCAAATTAATATTACTGCAGATGAAAATATTATTTTTTGCCATTATTTCTCCAGGACAGATTTGTCATATACGTACAGTACTATACATTACAAACAAACATTGAAAAAATTACTCGCATTTTGTTCATTTTTCACATGGGTTTTAGCATACAAAGTAGGTTTATTTAGGTACGGGTACACAAATACAATTAATTTACAGTGTAAATTATCTAGGATAGCCCTAAAAAAAAGTCAGACAGTGACTTATTTCCACTGGGATGTGAGGGGGAAACCTTCATCAGCGAGATCGACTTTCAGATCACATGGAGGAATTGTGTGAGGAATACCAAGGACCTGTCTGGTAATCTCATGCACAAGGCCATCACCGTGACAACTAGGCTGTTGAATGCACAAAATTTTCTGAACCTGATCTTTTTTTTAAACCTACCATTGTGAAGGCCCCACTGTTGCCCAGATCACTCTGAGATAAAACTGACATAGTAAATATTGTGTGTTCATCATTCCTGTCTGTTAAATGTAAATTTTAGAATGCAGTACAGTACTAGTGAAAATAAGAAATTGTGTCAAGAGTACTCTTTACTCACTTTATTACTTTCATCAGATTGTGGAAGTCTTATTTTATATAAAGAATATGGCATTGGATGGGAAAACCAGGGTATGAATGCTTGTGAATCTTATGTATGTATGCATTCTTAGCTGAGCTTGAATCATTTGAATTATTATGCCCATGCCTTTCTAGCAGGACAGCTATTGAATGAGTCACTTTACTTCAGTGGGAGATGGCCAGTGTGGTAAAACAGTGTTACACTGCTACATATATAATGCTTCTCTCTCTATGTAACAGGACATGTAGATCGTGGTGAGTCAGAAATGGAGGCTGCCATTAGGGAGACAGAAGAAGAAGCAGGTCTTAGATCAGAACAGCTCACTGTGATAGATGGTTTTCAAAGAATCTTAGAGGTATGTATGTGTATCATAATGGCATAAAATGAGTAATTTTTTGTCTAGTTTTGGATAAGATAGATTTGTTTGGATTTTTTAACCCAGAGGATTAGCCATCCAGGATAACCCAAGAAAGTCAGTACATCATTGGGGACTGTCTGTCTTATTTCCACTGGGGGGTCCTTCAGTCTTGTCCCTCAGGATGCAACCCACACAAGTTGACTATTACCCAGATACCTACTTACTACTATGTGAACAGGGACAGCAGGTGTAAGGAAACATGCCCAAAATTTCCACCCACTCTAAAACCTCCTTACTCATCCACAATCCTACATTCTGTCTTACCTCTAATTCTTTCAATAATAACCCTACCGTACACTTGTCCTGGTATACTCAGTAAACTAATTCCTCTATAATTTTTACAATCTCTTTTGTCCCCCGTCCCTTTATATAAAGGGACTATACATGCTCTCCGCCAATCCTTAAGTACCTTCCCCTCTTTCATACATTTATTAAACAAGAATACGAACCACTCCAACACTATATCCCCCCCTGCTTTTAACATTTCTGTCATGATCCTGTCAGTTCGAGCTGCTTTACCCCCTTTCATTCTATGTAATGCCTCACGCACCTCCCCCACACTTACATCCTGCTCTTCTTCACTCCTAAAAGATGGTATACCTCCCTGGCCAGTGCATGAAATTACCGCCTCCCTTTCTTCATCGATGTTTAAAAGTTCCTCAAAGTATTCTTCCCATCTACCCAATACCTCCATCTCCCCATCTACTAACTCTCCTACTCTGTTTTTAACCGACAAATCCATTTGTTCCCTAGGCTTTCTTAACTTCTTTAACTCCAATTTTTTTTTTCTTATTTTCATTAAAATTTCTTGACAGTGCCTCTCCCACTCTATCATCTGCTCTCCTTTTGCACTCTCTCACCACTCTCTTCACCTTTATTTTACTCTCCATATACTCTACTCTTCTTATAACACTTCTGCTTTGTAAAAACCTCTCGTAAGCTACCTTTTTCTCTTTTATCACACCATTTACTTCATCATTCCACCAATCACTCCTCTTTCCTCCTGCACCCACCCTCCTATAACAACAGACTTCTGCCCCACATTCTACTACTGCATTTTTAAAACTATTCCAACCCTCTTCAACCCCCCCACTACTCATACTTGCACCATCCCACCTTTCTGCCAATACGTAGTTGCTTATATCTCACTCGAACTTCCTCCTCCCTTAGTTTATACACTTTCACCTCCCTCTTACTTGTTGCCATTTTCCTCTTGTCCCATCTACCTCTTACTCTAACTGTAGCTACAACTAAATAATGATCCAATATATCAGTTGCCCCTCTATAAATGTGTGCATCCTGGAGCCTACCCATCAACCTTTTATCCACCAATACAGTATCTAACAAACTACTTTCATTACGTGCTATATCATACCTTGTATATTTATTTATCCTCTTTTTCATAAAATATGTATTACTTATTACCAAACCTCTTTCTACACATAGCTCAGTTAACCCTTTCAGGGTCCCCAGGCCCTCTCCGAGACTTGTTGTCAGGGTCCCCAAATTTAAAAAAAAATAATTTTTTCTTATGAAGAGATAGATAATCTTTTCCCGATCATAATGACACCAAAAGTATGAAATTTGATGGAAAACTTACGGAATTATGCTCTCGCGAATTTAGCATTCTTGACAATGTTTACGCATCGGCGATTTTGCCCATTTTGAGTCCAATTTTCGGCCAATTCCAGTGTACTAGTTGATAAAAATCATAACTATTTCTCTAGAACTCCATTTTTTCTATCGAATGAGTACAAGAAACCACCCATTTACTGATTTCAACTATCTAATAAAGTGGTCAGAATTTAGCAATTTTGCCCATTTCACACAAATTTCAAAAGATCCCAATTTCCGAATAGGGTCCAGAATAAACAAAAAAGACATTCCTGGCACTAAAGTAACAAGTTCTCTGTTCGTTAGTAACATCCCAGGCCCCTCTTATATTTCTTTGGCTTTCCACTTTGAATTTGTATTCTTACAAAAAATAGAAGTTTTACTGTTATGCAGACTACTGCATTAGTGTAGAAATGGTATAAATAATATCAGCACACTTGTGAAAGAATATTAGACTTACCAGTTGATGTGTATTGGATGCTTGGCATGATTCATTTACTTTTGAACTTTGGTAAAAATCGAACATTTCTGCTTGGGTTGTGAATGCAGCAGTGAGGAGGCGGTTGGAGGCAGTGGAGATGTCCTGTCTAAGGGCAATGTGTGGTGTAAATATTATGCAGAAAACTCGGAGTGTGGAAATTAGGAGAAGGTGTGGAATTAATAAAAGTATTTTATCAGAGGGCTGAAGAGGGATTGTTGAGGTGGTTTGGTCATTTAGAGAGAATGGATCAAAGTAGAATGACATGGAGAACGTATAAATCTGTTGGGGAAGGAAGGCGGGGTAGGGGTCGTCCTCGAAAAGGTTGGAAGGAAGGGGTAAGAGAGGTTTTGTGGGCGAGGGGCTTGGACTTCCAGCAGGCGTGCATGAGGGTGTTTGATAGGCGTGAATGAAGACGAATGGTATTTGAGACCTGACGATCTGTTGGAGTGTGAGCAGGGTAATATTTAGTGAAGGGATTCAGGGAAACCGGTTATTTTTATATAGCCGGACTTGAGTCCTGGAAATGGGAAGTACAATACCTGCACTCTAAAGGAGGGGTTCGGGATATTGACAGTTTGGAGGGATATGTTGTGTATCTTTATACGTATATGCTTCTAAGCTGTTGTGTTCTGAGCACCTCCGCAAAAACAGTGATTATATGTGAGTGAGGTGAAAGTGTTGAATGATGATGAAAGTGTTTTCTTTTTGGAGATTTTCTGTCCTTTTGGGTCGCCCTGCCTCAGTGGGAGACGGCCAACTTGTTAAAAAAAAAAATATATATATATATACAGTATATATGTATATACACATACATACAGTGGACCCCCGGTTAACGATATTTTTTCACTCCAGAAGTATGTTCAGGTGCCAGTACTCACCGAATTTGTTCCCATAAGAAATATTGTGAAGTAGATTAGTCCATTTCATACCCCCAAACATACACGTACAAACGCACTTACATAAATACACTTACATAATTGGTCACATGTGAAGGTAATCGTTATGCGGGGGTCCACTGTACATACATACATATTTACAATGGCTAAATGTTGAATTTCCTCTCATCTTCAGTGCCTCATTTGTAACAAAGTACAGAAATTCTGGATGCAGTGTTTCCTAGTTATAAGTGAAAATCTTGGAGGAAAGAAACACTGGCAATCACTTAAAGGTACCCCTTTGGGATACCTTATAAAAATATTACATAGTAATTGATAAAATTTAGCTGACCACCTAATGGTGTTGCTGTGATAGTGTTGTCAAAGAAAAGAATCATCTAAGGCAGTGTTATTCACTAATTTTTGCAAGAGAGCCACTTCGGTTAAACACATTGATTGAGAGAGCCGCAGCTACTGCAAGTTAGCGTAACTCAACTAAATTAAGTAGTACTGAGCTGCTAGTGCAATATAGTAAATGAGAAAAATTAGACATGGTAATATTAGCCTGCATATCTTGTTATTAATAGCAAAATAAAGACCAAACTTACTTAATGCTGCGATGAGCGGAAGTGTGCTAGCTGCTGCTTAACTCTTGTCATGTTTAACCACAAATCAATCCATCATAACGGACACTACTTGACTGCACTTTGGTTTCAAGTAAAACTAGCCCATCGCAGCTAGTTTCCACAAGCAGCAATAGTTAAGTCGTTACTTTCATATATGTTGCCGCAGTCTCAAATATCTGTTGCCTATTTTCAAACACAAATCTCCAAGAGTAACGAAATACGTCCAGTCTCCCCCGAAAGCTTGAACTCAACTGATTCAGCGAGACCACCGACACCTAGAGCTAGACGTGTCCCTGATCAGTTTCCTTTAGTGGACACGTATGATTTCTGTACGACTAGGGTAGGGATGCTAGAATGTTATCTCTTACTGTGACTTCGTCTTCCATCTCACCTCATGAAAATATGTATCTTACTTGAAAAATTATTTTTCTATATATTTTTTTTTTATTAATTAATTTATATATTTTTCGAGAGCCGTGAATTGAGTCATCACGAGCCGCGCAGTGAATACCACTGATCTAAGGGAAACAGAGCAATCACTTTACCAGTTCCACATAAATGCATGGATGGGCATTAACTGCCCTGTGGTAGAGCATTTGACCTGCAGACAAAATGTCCCCAGGTTTGATCCTGGGTGAGGCGACATACTGGAGAATTTCCTTACACTTGTTACCCCTGTTTGCATACCTGTAACTAAGTGTTAATTGACTGTTGTGGAGTACATTCTGGGAAGATAACCAAGGGACCCAAATGAAAATAGGTCACATTGCCTTCCTAGTGTACATTGTTTAGAGGATGTACAGTGGACCCCCGCATAACGATGGCATCGCATAGCGATTTTTCCGCATAACGATTACTTTTATCGCAAAATTTTTGCCCCGCATACCGATTAAAAACCCGCATACCGATTTTCGTCCGAGACGCGTCCAATGTGCCCTCACATGTGCCGGCCGTCCCATTGTTTACCAGCCAGCCTCCGCGGTAACATCCAAGCATACACTCGGAATATTTCGTATTATTACAGTGTTTTCGGTGGTGTTTCTGGAAAATAAGTGACCATGGGCCCCAAGAAAGCTTCTAGTGCCAACCCTGTGGTAAAAAGGGTGAGAATTAGTATGGAAATTAAGAAAGATTTTGAAGGGTTTGGGGCTAACCCTGAGAAGCCTATGCCAGTTGTGGAATCCATTGTGCCTACTTCAAAGATTAAGGAAATGTGTGCAGAGTGGTTTGAACTGCAAACCTTTATAGATGAAAATCACCCTGACACAGCTGTTGCAAGCCGTGCTTGTGACTATTTCAATGACAATGTTATGGCCCATTTTAGGAAAGTCTTGAAGAAACGGGAGGTACAGAGCTCTATGGACAGATTTGTTGTGCGACAGAGGTCCAGTGACTCTGAAGCTGGTCCTAGTGGCATTAAAAGAAGAAGGGAAGTAACCCCAGAAAAGGACTTGCTACCTCAAGTCCTAATGGAAGGGGATTCCCCTTCTAAACAGTAAGAAGATAATGCTCTCCCCTCCTCCCATCCCATCAATCATCACCAGATCTTCAATAAAAGTAAGTGTCATGTAATTGTGCATGCCTTTTTCAGTTTGTGTGTATTAAAATTAACATTTCATGTGGTAAAAAAAATTTTTTTTCATACTTTTGGGCGTCTTGCACGGATTAATTTTATTTCCATTATTTCTTATGGGGAAAATTAATTCGCATAACGATTATTTCGCATAACGATGAGCCCTCTTGCACGGATTAAAATCGTTAACCGGGGGTCCACTGTATAGTAATTTTTCATTTAGTTGATATTAATATAGTGCTTATCTTTTGCTTATATTGTATTTTTTATTTTTTTTTTTTAACACATCGGCCATTTCCCACCATTATAATTTATTTGTCAAATTGGTTTGGGATTAATAGAATGTCACAACTAAATAAAAAACTTATAAATTTCTTTTTTCTTTTTCAGTACAATGTGGAAAAGAAGCCCAAATCTGTCGTCTATTGGGCAGCCGAATTAAAGAATCCCACAGCAACTGTATCACTTTCCAATGAACATGTTGAATTTAGTTGGGCACCGCTTGCTAAGTCTTGCGACCTTGCAGGCTTTCCTGATTTGGTTTCTGCTCTTGAAGACTGTGAAGAATTTCTACAAAATTTTTACAGCAAATGATCTTTTATTTTTACTGGCATGTCTTAGATATCAGACTTTGAACTTTATACATATTTAAAAGATATACGAAATGGATGTACGGTAAGCGAGGTTTTAATTACGTATTTGAAATACTGTACAGTATTATATTTTAGGATCAAATTACTCCTGCTAAATGGGCAATTTTTTTAGTGATTAAATGGCTGTTTGGAGTTGCATCCAAACTGTCATTTCAGGGTGCCTATGCAAAGACACTGATGTGTGAATGATGGTGAAAGTCTCTCTTTATTGGGTCACCCTGCCTCGGTGGGAGATGGCCGACATGTTAAAAAAAAATGAGGTTCTTTGCTATGTGTCTTTCTGATACAAATACTGTATTTATTGTAGTTACATAAGCAGAGTTGTACACTAGGTTGTAGGTAATGGAAAAAATATTTTCACCAATTCTCACTACATGTACCCTTTTATACACTGCATTATTTATATTGGAAAGCACCCTATTCAGAATTTCTGAATATTTATTGTTATTAAAAAACAAATGGGCTTTATCATTGATTTGTCTCCTTGACTGTTTTTGGTTGACAAAAACCCTTTGAAACACTAAATTTGTATGGGTCATTCAGCATAGAGCTCCTAGGAGGCCCAGTTCTCTGTCCACTAAATATGGTTTGTCTTTTATCTGTTAGGCTAGTGATTCCCAAAGTGGGTGGTGGAAAGCTCTGGGGGGGGGAGGGGGGGGAGGAGAAAGGGGGTGACAGAAGGGTGGCATCAGGCCAAAGTTCAGAAAATCATATCGAGACTTGGTTACCAAAAAAAAAAAAATTCTGACTGCTATCCTGCACTGCGGAACAAAGTCAAGATGTACCTTCCCAACATCATATTTAGTAGAGAAAAGCTTCAGTGTAGTTGCCAAGCTTCTTTCCAAGGAAAGAAACAGACTGAAAATTACTGAATGCAGGGGTCTAAGGTTTCTTCTGTGTCTTCAAGCATGATGTTGAAAAGCTGATGTTCCTGCACCAAGCACATCCATCTTATTAAAATTGTGAAGACAATATAGTTACAGATGAGATGTAAATTTACCCTTTCATATTATTAAACTGATTTACTATAATTTCTATTTATGAAATATTCTTGTTTATAGTGTTAGATTAGTTGTTTTGAATTTGCAGTAACCCTAAATATTATCAAGAAAGAGATGTGTTCATGTGTGTGTGTGGGGGCACTAGGGATGTGGCCTAAGAGCCAAGGGGGCAGTAGCCTGAAAAAAGTTATCGAACCACTGTTAGTAATTACCTATATTATAACAAGCTTTCAGTGGTTAAAGTTATTTTGTTTTAAAAATTGCCTTGTAAGCACTGAAAAGTAAAAAATAATATAAGTAATGTAAAATTATAAGCTTTCAATGATGATGTTCGTAGTCCAGTAGATATCAGAAACATTGCCAGAGCAAATGTAAAAGTTTTGAAGAGGAAACTGGATTACTACCTCTGCCATGTGCCAGATCAACCCAGCTGTGTGGGCCTGTGGGCTGCTAACAGCAGTAGCCTGGTTGAACAGGCAATCAACACAAGGATGGTATCATTGTAATGTGTACTTAAAGTTGGGGCCATCTCCCAGTTTACTTCCCAACAGTGTTTAACATGAACAGAGGCTGAAAATACCTGTGTATGTGTGTTGGGTTTGAGGAAGCCTGGGCTGAATATTCTTGTGTGTTTTTTTTTTTTATATAAACACCCAACTGGTAATCTCTGTATCAAATGATGGCATTTGCTGTAGCTATTATTTAGCTTTTATTTATGTACAATATGGAATGAAATTCAGAGTGAATATACAATATCACTTTGGCCTCGCTTTCTGCCTGTAATACCTGCTTTACTTCCCTAAAATCCTGTCACTACCATCCAATATCTTTCATAAGCACTAGTGTAACACAGACTGACACTTGTATAAGTTGGTCTTCATATCAACATTCCGGAGTAGCAGATCACTACAATAGTCTTACTGGCCCTTCCACATTTGATGCACCAGCCACTTTTCCACCTTCACCTGATGCAATACCCTCCTCCCTCGTCTTAGGAGAGGACAAGAGAGGGGGTAAAAGAAGTTTTGTGTGCAAAGGACTTGAACATACAGCAGGCAGGTGTGAGCATGTTAAATGGGAATGAATGGAGATGAATGGTTTTTGGGGCTTGACAAGCTGTTGGAGTGTGAGCAGGGTAATATTTTGTGAAGGAATTCAGGGGAAACTAGTTAGCCAGACTTGAGTCCTGGAGGTGGGACGTACAATGCCTGTACTTTAAAGGAGGGGTTTGGGATATTTGCTGTTTGGAATGATATCTGAACTGCCATATCTGCACACCTCTGCAAAGATAGTGATTATGTGTGAATGATGGTGATAGTGTTCCTTTTTTGGGCCACTCTGCCTCGGTGGGAAACAGCTGGCGTCTTCAAGCAGGCACTGGACAAGCACCTAAAGTCAGTACCTGACCAGCTGGGCTGTGGTTCATACGTTGGATTGTGTGCGGCCAGCAGTAACAGCCTGGTTGATCAGGCCCTGATCCACCATGAGGCCTGGTCACAGACTGGGCCTTGGGGATGTTGAACCCTGGAACTCTTTCCAGGTAAACTCCAAGTGTGTGTGTGTGTGTATATATACTATATATATGTTTGTGTGTGTGTAAATGTGTGTGTATAAATATAGGTGTGTATATAAATATGTGTGTATATATATATGTGTGTATATATGTTTCCCACCGAGGCAGGGTGACCCAAAAAGAAAGAAAAAACTTTCATCATCATTCAGCACTTTCACCATCACTCACACATAATCAGTTTTTGCAGAGGTGCTCAGATATGACAGTTTAGACGATCCTCCAAACAGCCAATATTCCAAGCCCTTCCTTTAAAGTGCAGGCATTGTATACGTGTTTATGTTTGTAAAATGTGTACAGGATGGCCCCGCTTATATTGAAATCTTGGAAGATGTGGATCATTTATCTTACCATCTTTACCTTTCTTACAAAAATAAGCCTACATCTTAAAACTGGCTTTCATCAGACAACCTCACTTGCCCTGTGACACTCAAGATTTACAGCTAATGTAACACAGCTAACTTTCTACTTTCTGTGCATAGCCACTTTTTCATGAAGTGGAAGAGGCATTAGATTAAGAAGTGTCATGAACCACACTGGCTGACGTTTCCTATGCCAGAGATGCTGACTGCAAAAGAATGACTAATTGTTGCCACTGTATATCTGTAACTTGTTCAGCTATTAAAAATTTGTGGTCCAGTCCCTGAACCCATTATGTACCTCTGTAATCTTTTCACTACTACCCACATGATGGGCATGGGGTGCATAATAAAGATGTTAAATTAACAGTGTATTTGTTATGCATGATTTTTGGTCAGTGGAGTCAGTGAGGGGTTCTTGATCTAGGGAACTGGATCTGTGCTCCAATTTCCTGAATTAAGCCCGAATGACTTCCATCCCTGCCCCCCCACAAGCACTGTATAATCCTTATAGGTTTAGTAGTCCCCCCCCCCCCATGATAATAGTTTGGTCAGATATAAGTTAAACATAGTTGGCTTCTCAGATTTTAGTTTAGGTTAAAACAGGAGAAGGTTTTGCATTTACTGATTTTCACTCTTGCATATATCTATTTACCACCCCAAAAAATCCTCTCACCAGTCAATGCCATTACAAAATTGGAGTCTTCAAGGGGTGCCATATAGCACTTCATTTTTTTATAATAAAGGGGTCCCATGATGCAAGGAATTGGATATACCCTCCCATTCTGTGGATCAAGCTTAATTACCTCCCATTCTCCATGTGCTGTGTGAGCCCTGCAGGTTTAGTGCTTCCCCATGGTTATAATAAACACGGCAGGAATACCGGCTGCCATTAATTTCATATTCCTATGCAACTCAAATTATCTTGTGCCACCAACTTCCTATACCAAAATGCACAATAGCTCCCAGATGCCCCATCTGAACACTCAGAGCTCTTTTTAGGTGATGGGGGTTACACTAGGCCTTCTGGCAAGTTACAGTGGAGTAGTATTTGGCTAGGGTCAAGCAGGAAATCATGTGGTACTGAGTCTTTTATCCCATAGTTACTCTCAAGCTCTGATAGTTAGTAGCACTTATGTGGAGTGCCATCTTCTGTTATACTACATTGCGAGTGGGTGATAGAAAAATGAAACTGTTTTTTGTCAATTTCTTGCACTTATCTTGGAATTTGTCAGTTAAATGAAAAAGCCTGTGAGTTGCCTCATTCTGGAAGATCCCTGATAACTGCCCCATCATCTTTGTCCTTTGAGAACCTTCTGGACCCTGATGGTCCAATTCATGTCACCCACCCCTGGGCCTTACACCTGCAAACAAGACATATCATCCTATGTTAACTAGCCAGATTGAGTCAGAATGGTATAACTCCTATAAACTTTGTGATTAAATTGAAATACATACTCTGGACTGTAATAATAATTGGCAGCATAGTTGTAAGTGGATGATTTATTTGCTGGATCAGAGGCTGTCTATAGTAAGTTATCTGTGCTATTTAAGTGGCATATGAATGTAAAGTTGAATTAAGCATCCCACAGGGGATGTATCTTGAGTCTAACCTTATTTAAAATAATGATTCCACATAGGTTTAGTGCTTTCATGAATATAATTTACCCATATGAGTTTAGCACTTTTTTGTGAAAATAACTTGTTAGCGCTTTTTTTGTAAATATAATTTACCAGCCAATAATTATGAGTACCTTTGGTGATTATATAACAGTAGTTTAGATTAATGGACATGTTAACAAATCAAACATGTCTTTTTTCCATTGTGGTCCTTTAATCTTGTCCCCCAGGATGCCACTCACACCAGTCAACTAACACCCAGGTACCTACTTACTGCTAGGTGAACAGTGACAGAAGGTGTAAGGTGACTAACAACCAGGTATCTAATTACTGCTAGGTGAACAGGTGTAAGGTGACTAACAACCAGGTACCTACTTACTGCTAGGTGAATAGGGACAGCAGGTGTAAGGTGCCCAACAGAGGTATGTACTTACTGCTAGGTGAACAGGGACTCCAGGTGTAAATTGCCTAACAGAGGTATGTACTTATTGCTCGGTGAACAGGGACTGCAGATGTAAGGTGCCTAATACAGAGGTACCTACTTACTGCTAGGTGAACAAAGATTGCAGGTGTAAGGTGATTAACAGGTACCTACTTACTGCTAGGTGAACAGGGACTGCAGGTGTAAGGTGACAACACAGAGGTACCTACTTACTGCTAGGTGAACAGGGACAGCAAGTATAAGGTCACTAACACATGTACCTACTTATTGCTAGGTGAACAGGGACAGCAGGTGTAAGGTACCTAACACAGAGGTACGTACTGCTAGGTGAACAGGGACAGTAGGTGTAAGGTGACTAACACAGAGGTACCTACTTACTGCTAGGTGAACAGGGACAGCAGGTGTAAGATGACTAATACAGAGGTACCTACTTACTGCTAGGTGAACAGGGACAGCAGGTGTAAGGTGACTTAACACAGAGGTACCTACTTACTGCTAGTTGAACAGGGACAGCAGGTGTAAGGTACCTAACAGAGGTACGTACTGCTAGGTGAACAGGGACAGCAGGTGTAAGGTGACTAACACAGAGGTACCTACTTACTGCTAAGTGAACAGGGACAGCAGGTGTTTACCTGGAGAGAGTTCTGGGGGTCAACGCCCCCGCAGCGTTGCTAGGTGAACAGGGACAGCAGGTGTAAGGTGACTTAACACAGAGGTACCTACTTACTAAGTGAACAGGGACTGCAGGTGTAAGGTGACTTAACACAGAGGTACCTACTTACTGCTAGTTGAACAGGGACAGCAAGTCTAAAGTCACTAACACATGTACCTACTTACTGCCAGGTGAACAGGGACAGCAGGTGTAAGGTACCTAACACAGGTACGTACTGCTAGGTGAACAGGGACAGCAGGTGTAAGGTACCTAACACAGAGGTACGTACTGCTAAGTGAACAGGGACAGCAGGTGTTTATCTGCAGAGAGTTCCGGGGGTAAGATAAGATAAGATTTCGTTCGGATTTTTAACCCCGGAGGGTTAGCCACCCAGGATAACCCAAGAAAGTCAGTGCGTCATCGAGGACTGTCTAACTTATTTCCATTGGGGTCCTTAATCTTGTCCCCCAGGATGCGACCCACACCAGTCGACTAACACCCAGGTACCTATTTGCTGCTAGGTGAACAGGACAACAGGTGTAAGGAAACGTGTCGAATGTTTCCACCCGCTGGGAATCGAACCCGGGCCCTCCGTGTGTGAAGCGGGAGCTTTAGCCACCAGGCCACCCAACGCCCCCGCGGCCCGGTCTGTGACCAGGCCTCCTGGTGGATCAGAGCCTGATCAACGAGGCTGTTACTGCTGGCTGCACGCAAACCAACGTACGAGCCACAGCCCGGCTGGTCAGGAACCGACTTCAGGTGCTTGTCCAGTGCCAGCTTGAAGACTGCCAGGGGTCTGTTGGTAAGGTGACTTAACACAGAGGTACCTACTTACAGCTAGGTGAACAGGGACAACAAGTATAAGGTCACTAACACAGAGGTACCTACTTACTGCTAGGTGAACAGGGACAGCAGGTGTAAGGTGCCTAACATAGAGGTAACTACTTACTGCTAGATGAACAGGGACTGTAGGTGTAAGGTGACTAACACAGTGGTGCCTAGTTACTGCTAGGTGAACAGGGACAGCAGGTGTAAGGTGGCTAACAAAAGTACCTACTTACTGTTAGGTCAACAAGGACAGCAGGTGTAAGGTGATTAACACAGAGGTACCTACTTACTGCTAGGTGAACAGGGACAGTAGGTGTAAGGTGATTAACACAGGTACCTACTAACTGCTAGGTGAACAAGGACTGCAGGTGTAAGGTGACTAACACAGGTACCTACTTACTGCTAGGTGAACAGGGACAGCAGGTGTAAGGAAAGTGCCCAACGTTTCCACCCATGCTGGAGACTGAATCTTGGATACTCAGTGCGAGGCGAGTGCGTTGTCAACCGAGCCATGGGACACCGTACATGAGTGGGTGTTAGACCTACCGAGCATGGGCCAATAGGCCTACTGCAGGATTCTTAGTTTTGTTTTGTTTTGTTCTCAGATATGGAAAACTCGAGGAAATTAAAAATATATCAGGGTATACGACAAATTCTAACCATACAGTAGAGCGAAAAAGTAATGTGCAGGACTTGGGAGTGATAATGTTAGAGAATATCGTCTTCAAAGACCACAACAATGTCTCTACCTCATCCGCTAGGAAAATGATAGGATGGATAATGATAACCTTCAAAACTAGGGACGCCAAGCCCATGATTCTATTCAAATCGCTTGTTCTCTCTAGGCTGGAATACTGCTGTACACTAACGGCCCCCTTCAAGGCTGGCAACATTGTAGACCTGGAGAGTGTACAATGAACTTTCACGGCACACATAAGTGCGGTAAGGTACCTAAACTACTGGGAACGGTTGAAGGTCCTTGATCTGTATTCTCTGGAACGCAGGCGAGAGAGATACATGATAATATACACTTGGAAGGTCCTGGAGGAATTAGTACCAAACTTGCACACGAAAATCACTCCCTATGAAAGCAAAAGACTCGGCAGGAGATGCAACATTACCCCGATGAAAAGCAGAGGCGCCACGAGCACGTTAAGAGACAGCACAAGTGTCAGGGGCCCAAGACTGTTCAACTGCCTCCCAGTATACATAAGGGGGATTACCAACAGACCCCTGGCTCTCTTCAAGCTGGCACTGGACAGGCACCTAAAGTCGGTACCTGACCAGCCGGGCTGTGGCTCGTACGTTGGATTGCGTGCAGCCAGCAGTAACAGCCTTGTTGATCAGGCTCTGATCCACCATGAGGCCTGGTTACAGACCGGGCCGCGGGGGCGTTAACCCCCGGAACTCTCTCCAGATAAACTCCAGGTTGTGCTTCCTATCAGATATGCTTTGGTTCTGGTGAAGGGCTCTCGATCCAAGGAATTACAGCTACCCTTCCTTTGTTGGGATCAAACCTGACTTCTTCTATTCCCCAAACCCTGTATTAACCCTACGGGTTGAGCGCTTCCATATATATAGATGGGCTAATGAGAGCATAGGCAATGGGGTCGAAGAGGTATTACCTGGAGAGAGTTTCGGGGGTCAACGCCCCCGCGGCCCGGTCTGTGACCAGGCCTCCTGGTGGATCAGCGCCTGATCAACCAGGCTGTTGCTGCTGGCTGCACGCAAACCAACGTACGAGCCACAGCCCGGCTGATCAGGAACTGACTTTAGGTGCTTGTCCAGTGCCAGCTTGAAGACTGCCAGGGGTCTGTTGGTAATC